CAGCGCGGCGAAACCGCACGCACGGTCGCACCACAGAAGGCCTGGCGGTGGAGCTGAGGCGCACCATGATGGCCACCGAGGTCCCTATTTTGAGGCAGGTGGTGAAGTTCGCAATTCCTCGGAACCGTTGGGCACACGCCAAGAAGTGGGGTGACAAAATGTTCGTACAGCTCACGGCAGGACTCCATGTCGACCCGAGTGTCTTTCGACAGTTCGTGGGATGCTCCGGCAGGGCGGACGTGGCGAAGTCGCAAGACTCGCTGCGTTCGTTCATATATGAGTCGTTCAAGTGCCGCGCGCGTGACGAGCGGGAGGCACGTGAATAACACTCTCCCTGCGGAGCCGGTGCCGCGAGCATCTAGGCCATATCAGGTGTACGGGCGTGCCGCCAAGGACGAGGTGGCTGAGCGGAAGCACCGGCTGTGGTGCGACGAGTACACGAACAAGGCTGGGGCCGATGAGTTCACTTTAATATGTGTCGGCAGGTTCGTGTTACGACGATTTTTGCAACGGTTTCTGGCGCCGCGCGGATCTTTGAACCTTGAACGATCGTGTACAATGGTGCCTGCATCGGGCAACCATAGGCCTTCAACCTTGCGCGCCCGCTCTGGTGTCTCCGCCGCGTCGACGCGACATGAACCTGCCGTAAATAGAGGCGCAACTAAACCGACCCTCTTTTGCAGCGCTCTTTCTCCTGTAGGCATTACGCGCGTCTCCTGATCCTCTACGATTTCGCCCCAGCCGTTGGCGAGGACTCCGCGGAGTTCCCGACCGACTTTGGGCATTAGGTCCACATCGGGGGCCAGAAGTTCAACGCTGCAGTTTTGGAGCGGGCCCGCAACGCTCCGAATCGCAGCGGGGAAATGCACAAGTTCTGGGGGGAGGGGCGTTACAAAACGCACCAGATGGGCCACCTCATTTGCGAGGTTCCGCGCGACAGTTCCTAGCGCACGCGGAGCTCGGCGCGAACATGGAGAAAGAGACTCTGGAGGCTGTTGAAGGACGTCGCGGGTGTCATAAGAAAGAACCTTGGCGGAATAACGGTTGGGATGAGATCGAAAAGTCCGCGGGCGCCCGCCTCCAAAGAAACATCGTGCCGTCGGATATCTGGGGGGGCCGTGAGGGGCGCCGAGGAAGTCATAAGAGAGATCCCTAAAGAAAAAACAGCCCCTGGGATCAGATCGGGAGGTCCGCGGACGCACGTTTCGAAACAAACATCTGGACGTCGGATGTCTGGGGATGGCGGGAGGCAAGGCGCGCATGGCGGATGCTGAGGCGGCAAAATGACGGAGACGGCGATGGGGAGGCGGAGGCAGAGGCACAGCAGCGAAAGGCGAGAGGCGCGAGGAGGAAGGAGGGAAGAGGAGGCAGGCGGGAGGAAAGAGGGGGAGGTGGGAGAAATGAGAGAGGTTTCAGGCAGAACGGGGCACACCATCTCGTGCGCAGCATCTCGAAGAACCCTGACAAAGAACCAGTCCCGGGGACGAAATCGAGAGGTCCGCGGGCGCACGTCTCGAAACAAAAATCGCGACGTCGGATGTCTGCGGAGGGCGGAAGGCAGGGCGCGCATGGCGGCATCTCGGAGCTTCGCATTGTGAGGATGGTTCGGGGGAAACGGGCTGGACCTCCTCGCGTGCGGCATCTCGGAATTCAATATTGGAAGGATACCCCAAGAGAACCGGGCCGTTTTACCTCTCGACTCCCGTCAAGCCCTCTCGTGCAACTCCATTCCTCATCCCTCCTCCTCCTCCTCCTCCTCCTGCCTGCTCCCTCCTCCTCCTCTTCCTCCTCCTCCGGCACGTTTTGAGACGTCGCTAAAAGGTATATGAAATCCTGTTCGGGGAACCCTGTTTCGGAGCCCAGGGTTGCGAGGATGTCCCAGGTCGCACCTGGTCGACGAGTAAGCTGCCAGGTCGGCACTGCGAGAGGCTCCACCGCCATGCTGTGAACTCAGAAGCAACTTTAAGAGGAAACGGGGGAGGGCGCGGAAGCGGGGGGGCATGTCGTGATGGTTCCCTCGGGGATGATATCGAAAGGAACGCGGCGCACGTCTCAAAAGAAAAATCACGACGTCGGATGTCTGGGGAGGGCGGAAGGCAGCGCGCGCATGACGGATGCTGAGGCGGCAGAAACGACGACGGCGGAGACGGGGAGGCGGAGGCAGAGGCGCAGCAGCGGGAGGCGGGAGGCGGGAGGAGGGAGGAGGGAAGAGGAACCAGGCGGGAAGTGGGAAGAGGGAGGCGGGAGAAGGAATGAAAGAGGTTGTGATTGGAGCTCCTGCGCTACAAAACGTCTCAGGCAGAATGGGCCAGACCATCTCGCGCGGAACATCTTCCAGCCTCGCATTGCGAGGATGGCTCAATCGAAACGGGCCGGACCCCCTCGCGAGCGACATCCTGGAGCTCAGTATTGGAAGGATTTCTCAAACGAAACGGGCCGGACAATCTCCCCCACACGTTTTGACAAGTCCACACCGCACTCGCTTCCCGTTAGGTCCTCTCCTGCAACTCCCTTCCTCCTCCCTCCTCCTCCTCCTCCTCCTCATCCCCCTCCTCCTGCCTGCTCCCTCATGCACATCATCCGCCTCCTCCTTCTCCCTTCCATATCATTTTCCTTCTCCTCCCCCTCCTCCTCCTCCTTCTCCTCCTCCTCCTCCTCCTCATCCCGAACGGCATCTCGGAGCCTAGAGTTGCGAGGATGTCTCCAGCGTAACGGGCTGGACCACCTCGCGCGCGGCATCTCGGACCCCAGAGTTGCGACGATTTCTCGGGCAAACGTGCTGCGAGGAAGTCTCAGGCGAAACGGGCCGGACCACCTCGAGCGCGGCGTCTCAGAGCTCCGAGTTGCGGGGGCCTCCTGGCGCCTCTTGGGGCCTCCTGGGGACCTCCTGGGGCTTCCTCCTGGGCCTCCTGTGGCCTCCTGGACCCCACTTGGGGCTTCCTGAAGCCTCTTGGGGCTCCCAGGGGGGATATCTAACCTGTGGCCGTTTGGGCCTCTCCAAATGGAGGGGGGGGCACAAGAGCAGGAATAATCAACGAATCGACACCGGATGCGTATTAAGTTGACACGTTCTGACGAGGGCCTCCTGGGGCCTCTTGGGAGCCTCCTAGGAATCTCCTGGGGACCCCTGGGGCCTGTCCTGGGCGTCCTGCGGCCTCCTGGAGCTCTCTGGGGCCTCCCCCTCCTCCTGCCTGCTCCCTCATGCACATCATCCGCCTCCTCCTTCTCCCTTCCATCTCCTCCTCCTCCTCCTCCTCCTCCTCCTCCTCCTCCTCCTCCACCTCCTCTTCATCCCGAACGGCATCTCGGAGCCTAGAGTTGCGAGGATGTCTCCAGCGTAACGGGCTGGACCACCTCGCGCGCGGCATCTCGGACCCCAGAATTGCGACGATGTCTCGGCGCGGCGTCTCAGAGCTCCGAGTTGCGGGGGCCTCCTGGGGCATCCTGGGGCTTCCTCCTGGGCCTTCTGTGGCCTCCTGGACCCCACCTGGGGCTTCCTGAAGCCTCTTGGGGCTCCCAGGGGGGATATCTAACCTGTGGCCGTTTGGGCCTCTCCAAATGGAGGGGGGGGCACAAGAGCAGGAAGAATCAACGAATCGACACCGGATGTGTATTAACTTGACACGTTCTGATAGGCGGCCTCCTGGGGCCCCCTGAGATCCTCCTGGGAATCTCCTGGAGACCCCTGGGGCCTGTCCTGGGCGTCCTGCGGCCTCCTGGTGCCTCTTGGGGCCTCCTGGGGACCTCCTGGAGTTTCCTCCTGGGCCTCCTGTGGCCCCCTGGACTCCACCTGAGGTTTCCTGAAGCCGCTTGGGGCTCCCAGGGGGGATATCTAACCTGTGGCCGTTTGGGCCTCTCCAAATGGAGGGGGGGGCACAAGGGCAGGAAGAATCAACGAATCGACACCGGATGTGTATTAACTTGACACGTTCTGATAGGCGGCCTCCTGGGGCCCCCTGAGATCCTCCTGGGAATCTCCTGGAGACCCCTGGGGCCTGTCCTGGGCGTCCTGCGGCCTCCTGGAGCTCTCTGGGACCTCCTGAAGCTCGCAGGGTCCCACGAAGGATATGGAACATGTGGTCTTCTGGGCGCCCAGGCTGGACCACCTCTCGCGCAGCATCTGAGAGCTCAGAGTTGCGAGAATGTCTTGTGCGAAACAAGCCAGACCACCTTGCGCACGGCATCTCGGAGCTCAGAGTTGCAAAAATGTCCCAGGCGGGACGGGCCAGACCACCTCGCGCAGGGCATCTCAGAGCTCAGAAGTTCGAGGATGTCTCAGGCGAAACGAGCCGGACCACTTCTCGCGCGACATCTCCGAAGTCAGAGTTTCGAGGATGTCTCAGGCGAAACGGGCCGGACCACCTCGCGCAAGGCATCGCAAAACTCAGAGTTCCGAGGATGTCTCAAGCGAAACGGCCCGGACCACCTCTCGCGCGGCGTCCCGGAGCGCAACTGTTCGAGGATGTCTCAGGCGAGACGGCCAATCCCGGCCAGCTCAGAAACGAGAGTTGTGAGGATGTTTCAAGCGAAACGGCCAAACCAATAAAATTGTTGTGAGGATGTCTCTGCTCCGCGTTCCCTCGGCCGGAGTTAGTTTCTATCACAACAGCACCCCGTTCAGCAAGCTGTTTGGGGAACAACTGTATGAAGAATGTGCGTCGTATCGCTGTCTGTCTGTTGTGCGCATGCGATGAGTGTCCTGTGGTCGTGATGGCATGCTGTGTTGTGCGAGTGCGTGTCACTTGTGATGTGAGCGCGGTGTTCGCCGCGTATGTTGCGTATGCAGTGTGGTGTGCCTGTGTGCGTTGCGTTGTCCGTGGCTGTCCCATCATATATGTATATATATAATATAATATATACATGTATATGCGTGTTTCGCGTGCGCGCTGTGCTGCGCTACGCGCAAAGGGCGCGCGTGCGTGCGTGCGGCCAGGATTGGCGGCACCAGCTGAAAAAGGTATCTACATGTCGTAACATTACGCATGCGGTGCTATGATAGGCTACTGGAAGCCCGCGAGAGCTTCAGAGGCGTCCTCCTGCAAAGTCGTCCGCTTCCCCAACGAAATAAATTGTTGGCATCCATCGGAAGGAGTTGCTGCATCGGCGTAGTCGTCTTCACCCAGCAACCCTCCGACATCGGCGCCAGCATTTCCGAGGCGCTTGACGTAAAAATTCAAGTATTTCACACCCTTGTCCGTGCAGCCGCGTACGACCTTCAGCTCCACAGGGCCAAGCTTCGTCCAGCCGGGCATCTGGAGAGTCGCGCCGTTCACCTCCTCGGTGCTGAAGAGAAATCCGCCTGTCCGCACCTCGTTGGCCCACGTCCCTGTGATGTTCAGCGTCTGGAAATCCGCCGCCGTGCCCCCTGGCACTCCCAGTCGTCCCAGAATGCCAAGTGCTGTCTGGCAGGGATCCTGTGGATCTTCTTAAGCACCTCCCCACCTCAGGACGCACTTCCTTGCGTGCACCAGACCCTCTCCCGGGGCCGCAACCTTCGAAAAATACCACCGATTCGCATTCTCCCAGGGCTACGCGCGTCGCCCGGCGGCTTCCCGCATGACCTCGGGGAGGGCCATTTTCGGCACCGCTCAAAAAGACGCTGGCCTCCGAGGGCGGAAATTCAAGCCTCCCGACCCAAGAGGCCGCCAAGATGACCCCACGAGGCCCCCAAGAGGCCCCAAGGAGCCCCCAAAGGGCTTCAAGAAGCTGCAAAGAGGCGGGATATGCAGAAACCGACTATATGCCACCGGTTCGCGATCCCGACGCCCAAATCCCTCGTAGACAATGAAAAATCGGCGCTCCCGAGGCCAAGATGTCTCAAAGACGGCTCAAGATACCGCAGCTCCACGAAGACGGCCCAATTTGCTCTCAAGATCACCAATGATGGCTGTCACCTGCGACGATTTCGGCGCGTGTCCCACAGAAGCCCAGGACAGCCCCAAGACGCCCCAAATGAGGTCTATGAGCGCTTCTCGAGAAGTGAAGACAATAGATGTCGCACGTGGCGGATTCACCCTTCCTTTTCCTCATGCTCATCCAGCTCCTCCACCTTCCCTCCTCAACATCATCCTATATATTCAAATGCCATCACTATCAGGATCTCAATCACCGTCCTGGTCTTCATCATCGTGCACATCAAAATCGTCATCGGCATCAATATCATCATCCTAACCATCATCATCATCATCACCATCATCAGCACCATCGAGCCTGGAGATACAATGCATCACAAGTTAGGGTACCCGCGCTCCCTCGCGCAAAGACCACCGATATACCTGGGCTGGCATGGTGGTGGGACGTGCCGCAGGCAGCTGGATACAGTTCCCCACAATGTGCGCCCAACTGGCGCGCATCCGCCATGACGGTGAGCAGCGCGTCGTCGCCGGCCTTTCCGCGCGGGATCTGGATCAAAACGGCCTTGCCAGGCCTCCTCAAATCAAACCGTTCGCCGTAGATGTTTTGCAGATGCGGGTCGCCCGTTGCAGACGCTGGCATCGGTGCGACCGTCGGTGCTGGTGTCGGCGCAAGCGTCGGCACTGCATGCGGAACGACTGCAAATCGGGCCACCTTTCCAGAATTCGCCGGCCCAACGGGCCAGAGGCGTGCTAAGATCTCCGCCAACTGCTCAACAATATTTCTGGTTCGCGCGCGCGGGGCGGGTCATGGGGGTCCCCGGACGAAAAAAAACCCGGCAAGGTCCCGGCAAGGTCGCGGCAAGGTCCCGGCAAGGTCCCTTTTCGGAGCCCAGGAGGGTTCCAAACGGTCCAAGAGAGGCCCGAGAAGCCTTCGAGACGGTCCAAGAGAGCCGGGAGACACCGAAATGTTACTCCCAAGTGCCTGCGATGGCCTCAAGACGGCCCAACAGGCCTTCAAGACGCCCCAAGAGGTCCCTAGGCGGCGCCCCAAGAGGGCCCCCACAAGCAAAAATCGTCCCATTCCCTTGGGAAAACGCGCATTTTTTACATATCCGCCTCTTCGTCTCTCACACCTTTCAAGGCGGCCCAAGAGGCCCCCAAGATCACCCCAACACGGCCCGAGAGACCCTCAAGACCGCCCAAACACGGCCCAAGAGCGCTCCAAGAAGGCCCAACAACCCTCAAGAACTCTTTCTCGCAACCCAGGAGGGCTCCAAATCGGTGCAAGAGGGGCCCGAGAAGCCCCCCAGACGGTCCAAGAGAGCCGGGAGACGCCGAAATATCACTCCCAAACGCCTGCGATGGCCTCAAGACGGCCCAACAGGCCTTCAAGACGCCCCAAAAGGTCCCCAAGAGGTCCCTAAGCGGCGTCCCAAGAGGGCTCCCACAAGCAAGAATCGTCTCGCTCCCTTGGGAAAGCGCGCATTTTTAACATATCCGCCTCTTCGTCTCTCACACCTTTCAAGGCGGCCCAAGAGGCCCCCAAGATCACCCCAACACGGCCCGAAAAACCCTCAAGACCGCTCAAAGACGGCCCAAAAGCGCTCCAAGAAGGCCCAAGAAACCCTCAAAAACTCTTTTCCGGAGCCCAGGAGGGCTCCAAATCGGTCCAAGAGGGGCCCGAGAAGCCCTCCAGACGGTCCAAGAGAGCCGGGGGACGCCGAAATATCACCCCCAAACGCCTACGATGGCCTCGAGACGGCCCAACAAGCCTTCAAGACGCCCCAAGAGGTCCCTAAGCGGCACCCCAAGAGGGTTCCCACAAGCAGAAACCGTCTCTTCCCTTCGGACAACGTGCATGTTTTAACATATCCGCCTCTTCGTCTTTCACACCTTTCAAAGCGATCCAGGAGGCCCCCAAGATCACCCCAAGACGGCCCGAGAGACCCTCCAAACCACTCAAAGACGGCCCAAGAGCGCCCCAAGAAGGCCCAACAAACCCTCAAGACGGTCCAAGAGGCCCCAAGACGGCCCCATGATTGAGGTCCACAGGGGCAGCCTGAACGGAAATGTTGAGCTTCCCGCCCAAACACGCCCCCGAAATGCCCCTACAAGCCCCCAGGTAGCCCCACGAAGCCCCCAAGAGAGCCCCAAGAAGCCCCCAACAGGCCGCAAGAAAGCCCCAAGAGGCCCCCAAGAGACCCCAGGAAGCTCCCAGGAGGCCCCCAAGAGACCAGGCAGACCCCCCCAAGAGACCACCAAGAGGGCCCACCCAGAGCCATCCACGAGGCCTCCAAAAGTTCCCAAGAAGCTCCCACGAAGTTTCCAAGGGCTCCCAAGACCCCCCAAGAACCCGCGATGGCACAATACGGGCCGGCGGAATGAGCGAAGCGATTCAATATCCAACACCAAATAATTCACGGTTTTTGTAATACGGGTTCACGTACCCGTAAATCCCGTCTGTGAAACCGCCATAGCATCCCCTGAGCTCGCCGTCCTCGTCGGCCAAGCTGAGGACTTCAATGGTGTTGAACCCAGACAGCGGGAAACGAACAACTTTTGAAAATTGATGGTATGGAACAACGTAGCCGTACGTCCCGTCTGTAAAGCCGCCGCCGAACCCCCTGAGCCCGCTGTCCCAGGTTTCCAAGTCGAGGATCTCGACATTGTTGAACCCTGACAGCGAGAAACGAACAACTTTTCCAGAATGTGGTCCGCCGTCTTCGTACCACGGGACCAGGTATCCGTGGACCCCGTCCGTGAAGCCGCCATTAAAACTGCGAACCCCAACCGCTAGGGCCTCGACATTGTTGAACCCAGACAACGAGAAACGAACAACTCTTCCAGCTAGGTTCAACGACAGCGGAATTAAATACCCGTGAGTCCCATCTGTAAATCCGCCGCTGAACCACCCTACGTAGCCCTGGCCCAAGCTGAGGACCTCGACGTTGCTCAACCCAGACAAGGAAAAACGAGCGACTTTCCCGTTCGTCGAAATCGCGTACCCGTAGCTTCCGTCCGTAAATCCAAAACTCATGCTATTGAGATCGCCGTCCGTGGTAGCCAAGTTGATGACATCGACACTGTTGAACCCTAGCAGCGAGAAGCGAACAACTTTTCCGGTACGGCTGATCACATACCCGAAGGTCCCAGCAGGAAACGCGCCAGCGCAGCTTTGGATGTCGCTGTCCGCGGCAGTCAAATTCAGAACCTCGACGTTGTTGAACCCCGCCAACGAAAAACGAGCGACAAACCCCGTGACAGAGCTAGCCATGTACCCGTGGGCCCCGTCCGAAAAGCTGTTACGAAAAGCTACAAGGTTGCTGTCCGTGTCGGCCAAATTGAGGACCTCGACGGTGCTGAAGTCTCTCGTCGTGTCCTGCGCATGAGTACTCATTCGCGAGGCGTTGTGCTTAGAGAAGATACGATGAGCACGATATCCCGCCTGCATCACCTCGGCGTTCGCGGCGGGCATCACGTTCTGCAAGAGAAACGCCACCACGCATGCGGTGCACTGCGCCTTCCCAATAGCGAGCATCAGGAAACTGGACGAAACAGGGGATCCAAGAAATGAATGTGAAAGAAGGTGCACGGTTAAAGTGCTGACCGAAAAGTAACTGCCTTGAACCTGAAGAAGCTGTGTTAGCGCTGCCTTTCAGACCCTTGAGCCAGTCTGGGGGGCGCCTCCGATGATGGGCGTTGCCGAAGAGTTTCCCTCTAGACATGTCTTTCGAGTGGGAAAAGACCTGGGGAGCGGAAACAAATCAAGAACCCCTTCCCGCAAAGGGGAACTGCTTCTCAAACAAACATGATCGACCCACGAACCCGGAAAGGAATATAGAAATGTAACGCATGGCGACGTTTTCAAAGACACCTGATTGGGTGACGGGCAAGTGCAATGCTGATTGTATCGATCTTGATGTACCGTGCCGAGGGCTGTGCTGTGCTACGCCGTGCTGAATTGCGATGTGCCATGCCGCGGTTGTGCTCTATAGCGTCGTGGATCGAGTCTTCCTTTGCATCCGAGTCCTGACCGAACTGATCTGGATCTTAAGCTCGAGCTGCCTGAACAAATATTAGCTGCCCCAGAGCTAATTGACAAGGGGGCATGCCAGGAGGACGCGCCGCGAAACGTCCCAAGGGACGCGCCAGGCGGCGTGCCAGGGGACGTGCCATGGGGTCGCACCGCCGGACGTGCCAAAGGGACGCGCTACGGAACGTGCCAATGGACGTGCCACGGAATGTGCCAAGGGACGCGCCACGCGACGTGCCAGGGGGACTCGCCAAGGGACGCCCCACGGAACGTGCCAAGTTGCAATGCTGAGTGTATCGATCTTGATGTACCGTGCCGAAATCTGTGCTGTGCTGCGCCGTGCCGAATCGCGATGTGCCATGCCGCGATTGTGCTCTATAGCCTCGTGGATCGAGTCCCCCCTTGCATCCGAGTCCTGACCGAACTGATCTGGATCTCAAGCTCGAGCTGCCTGAACACATAGTAGCTGCCCCAGAGCTAATTGACAAGGGGACATACCAGGAGGACGCGACGCGGAACGTCTCAAGGGACCCGCCAAGCGACGTGCCAAGGGACGTGCCATGGGGACGCACCGCGTGCCAAGGGGACGCGCTACGGAACGTGCTGGGGACAAGCGTTTCGCTCGAGACATCCTGCCAACATCCTCAGAATTCCTGCGCGCGGGACGCGGCACGCGCGAGACATCCTCAAAATTCTTGCGAGCGGGACGTGAAAACAAGCATTTCGCCTGAGACATCTTCTGAATTCTGGACCCCCCACGAGGACCCCCACGAGGCCCCCGCTCGAGACATCCCCAAATTTTGCAAAACCAGCGTTTCGCTCGAAACGTCTTCAACAAATAATGAAAAACAAGCATTTCGCTCGAGACATCCTGCCAAAATCCAAGGAAGTCCTGGCAAAACGAGCGAATTAGTCGAGACATCCTCGACATTCCTGCGCGCGGGACGCGGCACGCGCGAAACATCATCGGAATTCCTGCGCGCGGGGCGCTTTTCCGTGTCGCGGTCGGCTCTGCAAAACCAGCGTTTCGCTCGAGACATCCTCAACAAATTCTGAAAACAAGCGTTTCGCTCGAGACATCCCCAACTCTGCAAAACCAGCGTTTCGCTCGAGACATCCTCAACAAAGTCTGAAAAACAAGCGTTTCGCTAGGGACATCCTCCAAAATAATTCCGCCGGCCCTACTCCCGCACGTAATTTATCGCAGAATAATTTCGCCGGCCCATCAGCCGTCAGATCCGGGGGTAAACCTCTAAAAGAGAACCCTGGGCTCGAGCCCTTTCGGGGAAAAAACTTTGAAAAGGACCCCCCCCCCACTAGAAATCCGCTCTAAAGGGCGAAACCACTTCTGGAGAGGACCCCCCCTACAAATCCCAATCTAGAGAAGGAGAAACCTTCCCTAGAGCAGGATAACCATTAGACACCTATTCAAAATGCGGAGAACCCTCTCTAGAGAAGGACCTCCCCCCCTTCAGAAACTTCTCGAAGAGAAAATCTTGCTCTTCCGGAGGGGGTAGAAATGGAAAAAACCCTCTAAAGAGGGAAAGCTCCCTTTTAGAAACCGGCCCCAAAGGAGGAAACCCTCAACAGGACGAGCCCCCCTCTTTGAGAGGGAAACTCTCTCTGGAGAGCGGGAAACCCCGCTAGAAACCGCTTCTGAAGAGGACCCCTTCTAGAGAGGAACCGCCCTCGGCACATCCCAGAACTGTGCCAACATTGTTGGTCAGATGCGTCTTGGACGTTCGCTGCCTCAGGGAAGCCCTGAGAGGCCCCACCTCAAGGGGGCCAACATAGCCTCCAAAGATGCTCGAATTTGTTGTTCCTGGTCTGATGATAAGCGCGGGGGGTCGCCACCCCAACCGCCGACCCCGAATCGACCCCGTCGCGGGCGACCACGTGGTGCTGAAGGCGCTCAGACCCCCGTCGCGGCGCGCCGACGTGGCGAGGCTGATCCCCGTCGGCGAGGTACCCAACAACGCTTATTATATACGAAACCTGGAATACCCACAGACAGGTTGCAAGACCCCGGCACGGTGGCGGTACGAAGGCCATTGGATATGAATATGTTTTGGCAAGAGGCGACGGGGATATTTTCGCTGGTGGCTAAACACATCATGGTGCATACACGTGATACATCCTCCGAATCCCACCAGCCCTTCAGGGCGTAGGTGGTTTAGGGAGTTGTCTCTTCCACTCCTCCTTCTTCTCCTTCGGGGAGGGGTTTATCACTCTTCCCTATCAATAACCACCCCCTCCCCCACCCGGCCGGCAGCCAACCTGGGACAATGCCACCGCCCCCCGCCATCCCTGTCAAATTAGCCTGGCGAAGGACCCAACCATATGCAGATGTGAGTACCGCAATTGTGAATATCTTCTTCTTCGGTGGCGCTCCCTCTGGGGCCTCGGGAGGGAAAACCCTTCAATTCCTCCACTACCTCCTCGTCTTCCTCCTTCTCCTTCCCCTCCTCCTCCTCCTCCTCCTCCCCCTCCACCATCCTTCTCCTTCTCCGCGTCCACATCCTCCCTCTCTTCGTCACCCTGCCAACCTCCCCCGCGTTCCCCGCCCCCTTCTCCCCATCGTCCCCCCTCCGATTCCCCCGTATTCGCCCTCTTCCAGGGCAGCGCGCCGTCCCCCGTCGTGCCTTTCAGCCCTTTCCTCAGGTACGCAAACAACGACACAAATGTCAACATAAACACACCATCGTCCAGGGCAGCACACCATCATCCAGGGCGACACAAACATCAGCATAAGCTCCAGGATGTCCGCCAGGAGTTCCTGGAACGATGCTTGGATCCAGACAAGGGCTCCCAATTTCGCGCTTCGCGCTCCGCGAAGTGAGAAGCGCGAATATCCGCCGACCCCGTCGGCGTGCGTGAGGGGCCCGTTCGACTCGTCGTCTTTGTCGTCCACTTTCCTTGCGCTCTTCTTTCCCTCGGCTCGTCGCCGGTCCCCTCCTCGTCGCCGCTCTCCTCCTCTTTCCCAAGGCCTTCTCCTCCTCAAGCACACCAGCCAAACCGACCTTGAGCAACGTCCGTTCGAATCGTCGTCTCTGTCGTTCCCTGTCCCTGCGCTCTTCTTTCCCTCGGCTCGTCGCCGCTCCCCTTGTCTTCGCCGCTCTCCTCCTCTTTCCCAAGGCCCCCTCCTCAAGCACACCAGCCAAACCGAACTTGAGCAACGTCGTAATTGGGTCGAAGGAGAATCCCTTCCCTTTGATCCCTCCCCCGCTGGGGGGGGGTGTCCTGGGGGGTATAGCGAGGGGGGGTCCCGGGTCAGATGCGACGCCCCCCCCCCCGCGGGAGCCCCGGGGCTCAGAAAAGCTCCAAGACTGGCCTAGAGTGCCCCAAGAGGCCCTCAAGACGGTCCAAGAGGGCCTCGAATCGCCGAACGATCTGTCCAAGACGCCTTGACGGCCTCCTCCTCCTCCTCCTCCTCCTCCTCGTCCTCCCCCCCGTCCTCCTCCAAGTCCTCCTCCGCCGCCTCCTCCTCCTCCGCCTCCGCCTCCGCCTCCGCCTCCTCCTCCTCCTCCTCCTCCGCCTCCGCCTCCTCCTCCTCCTCCTTTTCCTCCTCCTCCTCCTCCTCCTCCTCCTTTTCCTCCTCCTCCTCCGCCTCCTCCTCCTCCTCCTCCTCCGCCTCCGCTTCCGCTCCGCCTCCGCCTCCGCCTCCGCTTCCGTCCGCCTCCGCCTCCGCCGTCCGCCCTCCTCCTTCCTCCCTCCTCCCTGTCCCCTCCCCCTTCCCCCCTCCTCCCCCCTCCTCCTCCCCTCTTTCCTCTCCCTCCCCCTCCTCCCTCCTCCCTCCTCCCTCCCCCCACCTCCCCCCTCGGCCCTCCTCCCTCTTCCCTCCTCCTCCTCCCTCCTCCCTCCTCCCTCCTCCTCCTCCTCCTCCCTCCACTCTCCTCCCCCTCCTCCCCCTTCCTCCCTCTTCCCCCTCTTCCCCCTCCGCCCCCTCCTCCCCCCTTCTCCCCTCCTTCCCCTCCTCCTCCTCTCCTCCTACTCCATCCTCCGCCTCACTCAGCTCCGCTGCCGCCGCCGCCTCCGCCTCCGCCTCCGCCTCCGCCGCCGCCTCCGCCGCCTCCGCCGCCTCCCCTCCTCGCCTCCGCCTCCGCCTCGCCTCCGCCTCCGCCTCCGCCGCCGCCGCCGCCGCTCCTCCTCTTCCTCCTCCTCCTCCTCTCTCCTCCTCCTCTCCTCCTCCTCCGCCTCCTCCTCCTCTTCCTCCTCCAGCCTCCGCCTCCGCCTCCGCTCCGCCTCCGCCTCCTCCTCCTCCTCCTCCTCCTCCTCCTCCTCCTCCGCCTCCTTCGCTTCCGCCCTCCGCCTCCGCTTCCGCCTCCGCCTCCTCCGCCTCCGCCTCCGCCTCCTCCTCCTCCCCTCCTCCTCCGCCTCCGCCTCCGCCGCCTCCGCCTCCTCCTCCTCTCCTCCTCCTCCTCCTCCTCCCCTCCTCCTCCTCCTCCTCCTCCTCCTCCTCCTCCTCACAAGCCTTCTGCGGCCCGAGGTCCTTTTGGGAGAGGCCCGACGACCGCACGGCACTCGCGCGTACCGAGTTCGGGGGCGCACCAGGTGCGCACTACGGGCTCCCGCGGCTTGAGGGGCGCCTGCAGGCGGCGAAAGTCGAGTGTCGAGTTGTTTGATGGGACGGAGCGGCAACGAGAGGGCGAGGAGCAGGGATGGCTCGAGACCGCCCTCCACCCACGGGAAGCGCCGTCAGGCGTATCACGTGTGCCGCAATTGTCATCGTTCTTGGGTGTATTGCAACAGAGCTGGAACCCCTGGCTGGGAAGCGTGTCGATTGTGCAACGTACCCTGGCCGAAGTCATCCAGCAGGAAGGAAGTCACCTTCGCACTGGAGAGTGGAGAGACAGGCGGCACCCTCCTCGAGAAACTGTTGCCAAAGTACAGGTCGGCCAAGGACGCCAAAGAGGAAGACGCTGTCAAGGCGCTGGAGATGGTGTGCCCTGAGCTGGCGGATGCACTCAAACCTGTACCTCCCAAGGCTCCAGAAGTTCTTTTGGAACAACATGCAGCGTGTCTCCGCCGTCTCCAGTGCCAGCAAGAGAAGCTCAAGAACCAGGTCGTGGCCAACGCCAGGTCAGGGAAGGAGCTCCTCTTCAAGCTGGAAGAGAACGTCAGAGCGCGCGCTGAAACTCAGGCTGAGGTCAATCGCCTCACCAGCCAGACATCTGCAGCCAGGGGCGCTGGAGGTTCAGCCATGGATGCAGGCGACGGAGGCAAGACGGCCAATACTGACGAGTCCCTCAATTTCCCCGAGCTGGACCCTGAGGACGTGGCCCTCCTCACGCCTGAGCAGCAGACGGCCTACGAGGCAGCGCTGGCCAGGGCCAAGCAGGCCCAGGAGGTGTACAAGAACGCGCAGAGCATCGGCCAGCAGGCGCAGGACGCGGCCAAGACGCTGCGGGAGTTGCGGGAGACTGCCACTCACAAGCGTCGACGTGCATCAGGTGCTGCAGGTGTTGCGGCTGGGGCCCCATGCAGCCGGCGCCGAATCGCAGGCCAAGGGCGACGAAAAGCCAGTCGAGTCAAACCAGGACTTCACTGATGTCAAGAACGTGGAGGCGTACATCCAGCGCACGGCGTCCATCGAGGCCAGGGCTGCAGCGGCGGAGGCAGCACGCTCGGGCAGCTCGGGAGGTGCTGCAACGGCTGCTGCAGCGGGCGCGGGCAAGACGTCGGGTGGGTGACACGTCGTTCCGCCACAATGCAGATAGAGTTCCATTTGGCCAACGGGATCGAGTCTCAATCTTCTTCGGGAACGTCACCAGCTGGAGCCTCAAGGTCAAGAAGTTCGTAGAGTCGGCGCCGTACGACCTCATGGGGATGGCAGAACACCACTTGTCCCAAGTGCAGTGCCAGGGTGAGGAGAGGCGCCTTCGCAATTTTGGTTGGAGGTCAGAGGCTACGTGGACAGCTGCTACGGCTACAGGCAGGTCTGAGAAGGGCACGCACGGGGGAACGTGCTGGCTCCGAAGGGCCACCTATGCCACAAGCACGCACCTGACAGGCTCGCTTGGCAAGAGTGTGTTTCATGATGCCCTTCGTGATGCGACAGTGGTGCTATGGAGGTTTCACGGGGTTACTTTCGCCTTCATTGTTTGTTATCTCGATTGTTCTATCGGCATGGCTGGGACCAACTCCAGGAAGATGCACAGCGTCGCAAGGATCGTCAAATCACTGGATGTGCCATGGTTGTTGGTGGGGGATTTCAATGCCACGCCTGCTGAGATGGCAAAGTCGGGATGGTTGGACGTACTTCGGGCTCGCGTCGTGACCCCAGAGGGGGTCGAGGTCTCATGTACTTCAGGAAAAGGTCGCATGATTGACTACGCGGTGGTGCCAGACAGCTTCCGTCCCTTTTTATCCCAGGTGATGCCAGTGCAGAATTTGCCGTGGGGCCCTCACATAGGCCTCAACATCCTCATCAGGTCTCGTCCCGCATCGGTCTTCCTCCGTGTACCAGTGCTTCCAGTACCCTTGGTGATTCCCGATGGTGAGTCCAGGGTGCCCAAAGGCCTCAAGAGGTTCCAGAGGGACAGGGAGAAGCATGCGAAGATCCAGGACATGCGAGACGAGATGCACGTGTTGCAGCAGGGCGACCTGCTCAATGACGACGATGACGACCACTTGCTGGACGACCACTACGTCACCAAGCGGGCCCTGAGGTGCGATGACCAGGAGTGGATCCAGTACGTGTATGAGGCCAGCGAGGACCTCGGTTACTCCTTCCCCCAGGCCGAGCCAGACGCGCAGAGAAGTGAGGCGTACAGAGCGGCCCCGCATATGTCTGAGGTTCTCGCGAGGCAGCATGGCATCTGGTCGATGGCGGCGGAGGCGCAGTTGGCTGATCTTTGTGAGGTTGAACTGCGACAGGGAGCCCGCCGAGGTATGCCAGTGAAGTATCAGTGGAGACGTGCTGTTGTTCAGAAGAATGACTCGAATTTCGGCCACTCCAGCGCCAACGCCCTCAGCAGCAGGTGGGCGAGTCTGCGCGCCAGGGTGCAGGAGCAGCTGGTGGCGCTAGGTCGCTTTCGTCATTCGAGATATCGGCAGCGGGTTCAGGACATCGTGACCAGCATACTGGCCGAGCTGCGCAGAGAGCATGATAGACATGGCCCAGTTCCAGATGGCCATGCTGAAGATATGACTGGGAAGTGGAGAGTTTTCAGAGATGATGAGCAGGTTCTTCGCCAGGGCGAGCGCATTCGAGCATGCACGGACTTCGCAGAGTGGCAGAACTTCGCGCTGAAGGTGCAGGCCCGCTCGATCCGTCACGCCAGCCTGGCTTGGCAGCAGACGCGGAGCGAGATTGGCAGCTGGGCGGTCAAGAGTGCGCAGGGCTCCACGAAGGGCGCTCACCGCTACCTGAAGAAGAACGAGCAGCGTGCCCTGGATGAGACCTGCATCGACACCGTTACTGGTGAGGTATGTGACACGGTCCAGGGCACAACTGACGCCAGAGCGGCTTGCTGGGCAGCGCGGTGGACCTCCCAGCCACACCGCCTACCAGCAGTCCGTGCTGCCCTCGGTGCGCTGAGGACCCGTGCCCACGAGGACCTGGCCGACCGCACCTTCCACACTCGGGAGCAGCTGGTGGCCACGCTCAAGTCTTTCCCGAAGGGCACGGGCACGGGGCCAGATCAGTGGAAGCCGGCACACATCCTGGCCCTCTCGGACCAGGGGCAGGAGTCTCTCGTCACGCTCTTCAACATGATCGAGCGAGGGCTGGCATGGCCGCACCAGCTGCTGCACAACTGGTTCGCGCTGCTGCCCAAGGGCGAGAAGCAGGAGCTGGGCAACGAGAGGGACATCGGCCTCCTGCCGATGCCCGTCAGGATCTGGGGGCGTCTCACCAAGACCCCCCTGACGGAGTGGTGCGACAAACGGGCTGCGCACTGGGATGCCGCGGCGAGAGGCAGCAGTGCGCTCCAGGCCGCCCTACTTACCATGGTCCTGGATGAGACTAGGGCACACATAGGTCTCAACGAGCAGAGCAACTTTCTGGCAGATGTTGAGAAGTTTTATGACCACATGGATTTGGCTCATATGATTCTGCAGGCTATCGAACTTCAGTTTCCTGCGGTGGAGCTGTACCTCTGCTGCCTGGCGTATCTATCGCCTCGGACGGTCAAGGCCCAAGGGGCTTATGCCGAGTCCATCGTGCCGAACTGCTCCATCGTGCCAGGCTGCGGGAAGGCCAACCATTGTGCAAGAGTCTTCCTGTACTGACTGTTGGAGAGGGCTCATGAGAGGGCCCCGCTGGCGCACATCAGGCAGTACGTAGATGATGTACACACGCGAGTGGAGGGTCCAAGAAATATGGTGCTGGGCCAGACTAAGATAATCACTTGCGAGCTGGTGCAGGGCATGCTGGACCTGGGACTCCGAGTCTCCCCCAAGTCGCTCCTGATGATGACGAATGCGAAGGATGAGGTGAGAGTCCAGCGGCACGCCCTGCAGAGCACGGGCATCAAGATCAAGCGAGCCAGCTGGGCCAAGGACCTCGGGGTGGACTGCTCCATGGGACTCAAGCGTGCGACCAAGGCCGCCAAGGGCAGGATGACCACGGCGCAGGCTCGCGCCACGCGCACGGCCCTGTTCAGGCGAGTCGGTCGAGGAGGCAGCAGATCCAAAGGAGTCATGCTGCACAATACCAACAGCAAGGCGAAGTTTCGATATGCTGATCCAGTCCTGGGAGTGGCGACGTCTGATATGGAGCGCAGGCGTGCCCAAGCGGCAGACTTGGCGGGGCACGCAGTCGGTGGCAGATGCACGGCCTCAGTCATGCTGCTCCACTACCAGGACGACGAGCCCAAGATGAGTGTGGTAAAGGATCAGGTCAAGCAGTGGTTCCAGTTCAGGGAGGCCCATCCAGAGCTGCGAGAACGAGTTCGACGGGGCTGGGGAGCAGTGCTGAAGCGACTGATATACCTGCGCCCCCGCTCAAGATGGCGGTGCGTGACGGGCCCGATGGGGGCTCTCATCATGACGCTGCGCGAGCTCGGATGGACCCCGCGAGCTCCAGACCACTGGCTCGACGACCAGGGGAACGAGTGGAAGCACATGGGCGATGTCGCGGACAGCTACGACGAGTTGTACGAGGCTCTGTGCTCATCAGTCAGGCGCGACCTCTGGAAGCAGGCTGGCGATCATCCAGCAGGGCAAGGGCTGCACGAGGGCGGCGACATGCACATGCTGCGAGTCAACCTGCGGAGGCTCCGTCGCCAGGGCCGACAGCGAGAGGCAGGTGCACTGGAGGCGAACGCTCTGGCTTGTATCTGGACGAAGGCTCGCGCCAAATCCTCAGGGTACAGATGCGACGACGTTTGCCCGAGGTGTGAGCTTGGAAAAGACACGATTGCTCACAGATTGTATGAGTGTCAGGCGAATGTCAACATCGACCATGAGTGGGTGTCTCGAACTGAGTCGTTGTGTGAGCATGCATTGAAAGATTTGAGTGAGGGCGCGAACGTGTGTTTCTGGACTAGGGGGATCGTTCCCCCGTCCTGGAACCCCGTGCCCCCGCCCCCCGAGTGGAACTCTGGAGAAGGCCAAGAGGTTTGGGCTATAGGGCTCCCCCCTCCCGACCTCGACTCCTCCTTCGAGCTCCTCCCGTCCTCTACTTTCCCCCTCCAGGCGCAGGTAGGTTTCCTTGACGGCTCCGCCACGTCCAGCGATGCCCGAATGTGCCGTGTTGGTTGGGGTGTGTATTTCCGTGTGGAAGGCGAGGCGGAGCTGGACGTGGAAAGAGGGGTCCTCCGCGGGCTGTTTGGCACCATCGACGGACCCCAGACAGTGCCTGCTAGTGAGCTTGCCGCGTTGGTTTGGGCCCTTAAGGTCACCAAGGGACCCATTGTGCTGTGGTCAGACTGTGCCCTTGTCTTTGAAGGATGGTGCAAAGGCTTCGCCTCAGCTCCGCAGGGTCCGCTCATTCGGTGGTGGTCTCGGGTGAGAGCGGCCCTGCAGAGCAGAGGCGAAGGGCACGTAGTTCTGAAGAAGTGTTTTTCGCACCTGGATGCCGAGTCCCATATGCGCGTAGGTCAGGATCTGGAAGTGTCTCGGGGAAACGAGATGGCCGACCAGCTAGCCCAACGAGGAGCTGGGGCCGCCGCCGCCCCCATCCGTAGTGCCATCAAAGCTTTGAACGTTGCCGATGCCAGAGCCACCTTGGTGCATCAGAGGATAGGGGCGATTTTGGCCCACGGCTGCTCTGAATTAGATCGGGGGGACCGTGGGGAGTTCGGTGGGTCGCTAGGTTCGGAGGCGGGGCTGTCGAGGGTGGGAGAGCTTGAGGCCAGAGCTGGCCATCAGATGCAGCGCCTCTCGAATGGTCGGTGGTCCTGCAAGCTTTGCCGCCAGTCCCCAGGCCGATTTTCCCTGGAGGACTGGCCCCAGGCTTTCTTGTGCCCAGGAGGCGTCGCCCAGCGAAAACTCAGTGAGCAGGGGCACCATGTCAGAGTTTTCCCCACTAATGTGCATACCCTCAGAGTGGGCGATAGAGTCGTCCACAGCTCGCACTCTATTGCCATGCTGAACGGTCTAGCGTGGTGCTGGAAGTGTGCTAGATTCGGGACAGTGGTCCAGGGCGGGGGCCGCTTGCGTGAGCTGGTCAACCTCTGTCCCGAAAAGCGCACCAATTCGGGACGCAATTATTTGAATCGGCTGAGCCGAGGTCTCCCCCCCAAGGCTGGCAAGGACTGGCCCATCCCCCAAGGCGCTGGAGGCGGCAGAGCGCCGCTGCCCGTCGTCGGATCGAACGTCAAGGACTTCCGACGGCGGCGGGGGGATGGTGGGGGGGAAGAGTGAGGGCTTTCGATTGCGTGTAATCGAACTGAAGCGAGGGGGTGCGTCACGGACGCACCCCCCTCTTGAAGAGTTACTCCAGTTACTCCTCCTCCTCCTCCTCCTCCTCCTCCTCATCATCATCATCATCACCACCACCACCACCACCACCACCACCACCACCACCATCATCATCATCATCATCATCATCATCAGCATCATCATCATCAGTATCATCAGCATCATCAGCATCATCATCATCATCATCATCATCATCCTCCGCATGGTACCTTGGACCTCGCGCAGATTCAATACCGCCCTGTAAATGTGACCGCTTACGTGGATGATATCACCCAGTCCCAAGTAGGCCATATGAAAGAAGTCCTGGATACTTTGGCGCCTGCTGCCATCTCGTTGGCGCACCAGCTCGAAGAAGTTGCTTGCACTATCTCTCCCAAGTCTGCTCTTGCTTGAAGTCATGCTGAGCTTGGCCGAGAGCGTGCTGCGCGTTTCAGGGCTACTGCTTTTCCCCATGAAGCCCCAAGCCGCCGGTCGAGATCCGGGGGCCGTGACTACGTCAGGCAAAGAAGGTCAGCTGTTAAATTGACGCAGCGACGCAGCCAGGCCTCCATGAAGGCCACGAGGGTTGCTTTCCTCACTCGTACCATTGAGAATGCCCGGCGCCGTGGTCCCACCAGGTTTTGGGGCCCACTCCCGGGCAGATCCAACCGATGAGGGGGCCCGCGCGGCCATGTGCAGTGGTAGATGGCCCCCTGGCGCCTGCACTACCGCGACCCTAGGTCTTGTCAGCTCTGCCAAGGATGACCCCCAATTTAGGCTTCGCTACGAACAGCTGGTGAGTTCCCATGATGTTTGGCAGGACCTTGCTCGCGCAAAACGCATGGAGGCTGCTCGATGCCAGGACCTTATCGTTGATGAATTTCGCCAGACCAAACATCGATGGCAATGCGTTCGGGGCCCCAGTGCTGCGACCGCGGCTGTCCTGATGGATTCGAACGTCCTGCCGCATAGTCCTGTGTATAGTTTTTGTTCCCCACATCCAAAGTGGGGTTCTTGTCCCCCGAATCCAAAGTGGGGTTCTTGTTTTTTCTGCACACGCCGCGCAGGATCTCACACACCCCCTTTCCTCTTTCTTTCTCTCTCTCTCTCTCTCTCACACACTCACCATCATCGCCGTCAACACCACCATCAACCACCATCATCGTCACCACACGCACACACTCATCATCATTACCATCACCATCACCATCAACCACCATCACTAGTCATCATCATCATCATCCTCATCATCATTGTCACCATCATCACCACTCGATCACCCACTCACTCACTCAATTACTCACTCATCCTCAGTAGGCTTCGGAGGCAGTGGTCCTCCGACGGTAGGACCGCCGCCAATCTCAACATCATCGTCACCATCTCTATCATAATCTCTCGATCACCCACTCAGTGGCCATCATCATCATCCTCCTCCTCAGAATCATCATCATCATCATCATCAACATCATCCTGATCCTCATCACCATCCTCATCCTCACCCTCAGCATCACTCATTCATCACACACTCATCATCATCATCATTCGCTCACTCATCATTTCGTCATCAGGCGGGAGCCTCTGAGTGAATTGCGGGGAAGTCTCAGCCGGGAGCCCCCTCCATATGGGGCCCGCAGATCATGTTACTAATCCGAACGGGTCATCGGAACCCTGTAACTGTCGTCACTTTTGGGCCTCTGAGGCTTGAATATGCAGGAAGTATCAAGCGGGAGCCTCGTCTGTGAGTGAATCGCGAGGAACTCTCAAGCGGGAGCCCCCCCCGTTTGGGGCCCGCAAATCACGTTATTAATCCGAGCGGGTCATCGGAATTCTGTAACTGTCGTCACTTTTGGGTCTCTGATGCTTGAGTATGCCGGAAATATCACGCGGGAGCCTCGTCTGTGAGTGAATTGCGAAAAAATCTCAGGCGGGAACCCCCTCCTTATGGGGCTCGCCGATCATGTTACGAATCCGAGCGGGTCATCGGAACCCTGTAACTGTCGTCACTTTTGGGTTCTTGAGGCTTGAATATGAAGGAAGTCTCGAGCGGGAGCCTCGTCTGGGAGTGAATTGCGAGGAAGTCTCAAGCGGGAGCCCCCTCCCTATGGGGCCTGCAGATCACGTTACTAATCCGAGCGGGTCATCGGAACCCTGTAACTGTCGTTACGTTTGGGCCTCTGAGGCTTGAATATGCAAGAAGTATCAGGCGGGAGCTTCGTCTGTGAGTGAATTGCGAGGAAGTCTCAGACGGGAGCCCCCTCCCCTATGGGGCCCGCAGATCACGTTACTAATCCGAGCGGGTCATCGGAACCTTGTAACTGTCATCACTTTCGGGCTCTTGAGGCCTGAACATGGAGGAAGTATCAGGCGGGGGCCTCGTCTCTGAGTGA